TACGGCGCTTGCAACTGCATAAGGTCATATGAGCGCCAGAAGATTAGAAGTGTTACAAGAGAGTAACAAACATAAAAAAGAAGAAGGTAAGATAAGGACGATAGATGTTTGATAGCAAAGAAGGAGCAAACCACACCAGAGCACCGGCCAACCACCCACATATCAGTCTGTGAATTTCAGAGACAATACATATTTGAAACACGAAAAACTTCTTTTTCGATGCATTCCTAGTAGTCTTCTGAACTGAGGCTTCAGTTTATACTTTATATCATCTTCGTTTAGTCATTTTCACTTGTCGTCATAATGGGTGCATATATTTCGTGCGCTTTGTGTTTATGTATTTGACTGTGTCTGAAGCGAAAAGGATAGTTATTGTTGTGGTGTAAAGCGATTGAAAGAGAAAGAGAGAGAAAATGAGTATGAACTGAAAAAGGGGGAGGAAAGGAGAGAGGAGACGAAAGGTAGCACAAGATAGAGGGAGAGGTGGAAGGAATCCAGCAAGCTAGGAGAGAGAGAGAGGAAGAGAGTGAGAGGGACTGAGAGAAGGAGGAGATGAGAGAGAGAGAGAGAGAGAGAGAGAGAGAGAGAGAGAGAGAGAGAGAGAGAGAGAGAGAGAGAGAGAGACTCGCCACTCGGACCTTGGCAAGTGTTGAAGGCACCTGCTGCGGTCAGTGTTTTGTTTTGTGTCAATGACGTCACCGTGTCAACAATCACAGGAAGTCGTTAACCCTCCGCTGATACTGTCAATGCTACCATTTTAACCCTTTGGTGTATGTAAACATTCAGAAGTCGTTGTTAACCCCTTCCAGGAAAGTCAAACTCTGGTGCGTTAACTCCTTCATGTAAACAGCAGCTCCTTCCCCTCTCCAGCATGTTAACCCTTTCGTGTCCACCGTTAAGCCCCTGTTTGTCCACCGTTAAGCCCCTGTTTTGTGTTCGTGGTTATCCCGTTTTTTGTCTTGGAAAGTACTTCGGGACCTCAGATTACCCTCCAAACATGAAACATTCCGAGTTACAGCCTTGTTTTCTTGTGATGGCGACTTACTGTTGCCATGGTATTGAGTCCCAAGTTTTTGCCCAGGTTTAGTACCGTCTTCTGTGCCACTACCATGGAGTCGTTAACCCTCTTGTACCGACGAAAGTGTGTGTGTTAACCCTCTTGTGTTCGATGGGGGTTTGGGTGTTAACTCTTTTGTATTCGACAAGGGTGTGTGTGTTATCTCTCTTGTGTCCGACGTGAGAATGTGTTAACCCTCTTGTGACCGACGAGAGTATGTGTTAACGTTTGTGGGTCGGAGTTAAAACCTCCTTGTGCCTCATCCATGTCTTTCCTCTGTCGTTGTTGTTGCTAGCATGCTATGTTGGGTGATGCAGCGTTTGGTGTTGGTTCGCTACATGCTCTTCGCGGAAACAGCAAGGTGTGGTGGCCCTTTCTGGCCGAGGAGTGTGTGTGTGTGTGTGTGTGTGTGTGTGTGTGTGTGTGTGTGTGTGTGTGTTATCGTTTCCTCTCCAAGATCCCATAATTATAAAATTATCAAGGCAATGCCGCTCTGAAAATTAATGGTACATTCATGAGCATGCTTCACTTTCACAACAGAACGTATTCTATTATCAAGGTAAAAGGGACCTTTTGGAACCAAAACAACACCCCAGACAGGCTGAATCACAAGAGACAGAGGTTTATTTTTTATTGTAGGAAAATCCAAGAACCAACGTCCAACCACTGGAAAAGCTCAGATGAAGAATAAAAAGGGCCAATCAGGTTAATATTTCACACATAGTAAAGGTGCTTTGAAATATTATTGTAATAAAGAAATAAAGTAAAAAAAATATGAATGTAGCACCGGTAGGCCGTTCCTCTGTCATTCCTTCCTAAGTTTCTGTCCTTTTATCTCACTCTTTCCCTGTACCTAAACTCTCTTATTTATTCACTTCTTTAAAAAAAACCCACCTAAATCTAAAGGCAAGACGAGTCCCTTGTGCTGCAAGGTCACACCGCCCTCCCCCGAGTTTACCTTGTTAAATGATCTACTTTTCTTGTTCCATGCCCCGATTTGGTGCCTAATATCTATGAGTAACGTAGAAAGTTTGGCAGCATGGTAGTAACTTATGCTTCAGGCAAACAAAAACAAAAAAAAAAAAACAAAAGAAGAAAAAATAGACACC